CTACAGCCAACGCGCAGAATAGAAAGCACACGATGAGGATACAAGGGCCTCTGCAGGCCATGTCGACATTCTTTGGGCGGGCGCGCGGCCAGCAAAGGTGGCCAAGAGTTGGCCGAGGGAGAAGGCTGCACGGGCAACCCTGGAACGTCGCGCATCCCTGCCGTCCGCGTCGACTGTAGGCCGTGGCTTCCGGCGCAGACCAGCTCCGCCGAGAGCTTCGCTCGGGGATGGCCAGAACCCCCTTTCGCAAAACGTGGTTTAGAGGATTCGGCCTCGAGCCCAAACCTGGCGGGCGCAAGCCTGGAAAATGACAGCCGTGGCGCCCTGTCGAGTACCGAAAACGGACAATTCGCGAATCGACGTGTCAGGGTGGAGGTTCTGTCCGCCCCCGAAGAAAGCCCTCAGCCATGGCTCCAGATCCTGCACGAGACTCCGGGCGAGAACGGCATGGCAAGATTTGCTCCGGATACGTTCCAGGCTTTCCAGAACATCCTCCTCCTCCTCCTTCTCCTCCTCCTCCTCATCCTCCGCTTCCTCCCCCCACTCCTAGCCCTTTCGATCAGGGTCGGCGGCACCGGCCGTCAGGCCTCTCCAATGTCTAGCGGCCATCGTTTATGGAGCCTGTGCGAAGCACGACGTGGAAAGCCTGGAACGTCTCACGGCCAGACCTCTTGCTCCTCTGCTTCCAGGGACACTGGACACCGAAGCACTGTACCACAACACACCCTCCTCCTCCTCCTCCTCCTCCTCCTCCTCCTCCTCCTCCTCCTCCTCCTCCTCACCCGTGCAGCAATGGAGCTCAGGGCGGCCTTCTTGCCCCTTTTTTGCCGAGGGGCTCCTGTACTTCTGTAGAGAGAGCACCTCTTGGAAGCTTGGGCATAGGCGCCAGCACCAACACAGGGGGTGTGCTCCTGGATTGTGGTGCCAGTGGTAAGTCTTCGGCCACGTAAGAAGCCAACACATTACAACCACTGTGAGCGTTTTCTAACTCGGCGTTTCGACTTTGGGTGGAAGGTGGAACGGGTGGAAGGGGGGGGAGGTCTGGCGCTGGACCTCTGCTTAATGCGACTGCTGGCAGCAATGCGCCCTGTGGTGGAGACCCCGCCTGCGTGAAACAGTTCCGACAACCGCCAAGATCTACTACGGTGTGGGGGGGGAGGGGGTGCGAAGGCCCGCGCCGATCAGCAGAACAACGAATAAGCAAACGATCACATTACAGTGGAGGCTAGTCCATAAGAAACCTTCTACCAAAAAACACAACCCTGAGACCCCAGGACGTCCATGGGTTTTCGGTGTGAGAACGTCACGCTTCCCATCGCAAGACCGTCGGAGTCCAAGAAACCCAGGGCACCGTGGAGGCAAGCAGGGTGTTTCTTGGCATGGGCATCCACTACAATTACAGAGATCGAGATCACCCTCGCTCGACGGAGGCCCAGAGCCGATCACTGGTGCAGGTGCTGGCGCCGACCTCTGAGCTTCCGAGCCTGGCAAGCGCGCAGCGCCGGCTCGGCGCCCGAAGCAGCGCCGCGCGCGCGCTGGGCCAGAAAAAAATGCTTGCGCGCGCAGGCGCTGGGCCAGAAAAAAAAGCGCTTGCGCGCGCACGCAGGCAGCACAGCACGCACCAGGCATGACTGCCTACCAGACCACCCCAACTCGAGGCCCCCCCTATAGGGTCCGAGTCGATGGCGTCGGAGGATCTCGCCGCATCGCCGATACATCGGCGATGCACTGGCGACGCTGGCGGTGCATCGGCGACCTCGGCGTGGAGAAAATCGCGCCCCACATCGAGACGCATTGCCGATGCATCGGCGACGCGGCGCGATCCTCCGACCCCATCTACTCAGACCCCATCTCGGAGGCGTAGAACCTTCTAGACCACCCCAACGCAACCCGAATACCTCAATCTCGGGACTGGGGGCTGGGGCCGGGTTCCACCTGTGTTGCTCCCATGTTCCCCGCCCCCCCCCCCCAACTGGGAATGGGGGCCACTGGGGGCCTTCGGGTTGGATTGGGGCAGTCTGGTGGGTGGTGAAGACAGGTGCGGCTCGGAGCGCCGCGCGTCCACGCGCGCGCGCGGCGCCCTGCCGATGAAGAAGGGAGCCAAACTGCACGAGCACACGCTTTTCGGAGCTCCGCGCGGGGTTCTCGTACCGGCGCTGGACCGCCCCGCCCTGGCGCGCGGAGCGCGCCTGGGGCGGCGCCCGAGGCGCGACCAGGGAGGAGGAGGAGGAGGACCTGTGGAAACCCAAGAGTCATCAACGAGGTTGGAAGTAACCCTCCTTCCCAGCTCCCTCTCCACAGGCCCCTACAACGGTTCATTTCCATTGAGGGAACTGCCTCGTTGGAAGACATCAGTTTGAAGCTCTTGAAGCGTGCCAAACCATCGTAACAACCAGTCCTCTGCGTCTTGACGACCCAGAATCGTGCCAGAACGCGGTGTTTGAGACTTCAATACAGCGAATCAACATAACTGTTGCGCTGATCATGGGAATCCGTTCGACATAATCATGATTCCTTCCAAAACATTATTTATGGTGTGTTGATCATGGGAATCCGTGAAACCCTTGCAAATGTCTAAAACGAATGCGCACGGCGCTAAAACGAGAACCACAATTTGAAAAGGAACCACCCTCAATCCGTGAAGCTCGTACTGGTTTTTTAACGAATGCGCGGGGCGCTAAGGCGAGAACCACGTGTTGAAAACAGGCCGCCCTCAATGCGTGAAGCTCTTGAAATAATTTTCAAACAATGTGCGCGGCAACGACCCGCCCTCCATCTGTAAAGCTCTTGCAACTCGTTCAAACGAATGTGCGCGGCGCAAAGGCGAGAGCCACATTCTGAAAACGACCCGCTCTCAATGCGTGAAGCTCTTGCAATTTGTTAAAAGCGAGTGTGCACGGCGATAAGGCGAGAGCCACATTTTGAAAGCGACCCGCCGTCCATATGTGAAACTATTACCACTTTTTAAGCTTCAGAATCACAAATGGTGAGGAAGTCTCAGGCGAAACGCCCGGCCCGCCCTAACAACTGGCCTCGGGGTGCGACAGGGAGGAGTTAGCTATAAGGGAAAGGAATGGAGGAGGAGGAGGAGGAGGAGGAGGAGAGAGGAGGCGAGAGGAGGAGAAAGGAGGAGAGAGGAGGAGAAAAGAGGAGAGAGGAGGAGAGAGGAGGAGGGAGGAGAAAAGAGGAGAGAGGAGGAGAGCGGAGGAGAGAGAGGAGAGAGGAGGAGGATGGGGCCCAGAGCCGAACCGGGAAATCCGCTGCGGAGCTCCAACAAGAAAAGTGTTCATGCCTGCTGTGTCCCCATTCCTCGCGCCCTGTCTACCTGGCTCGCCCCTACCACGCCGCGCCCTGCTCGGTTGGCAGGTCCTTTGGGAAGCCAGGAGGCACTGCTGATTAGCGACAGCGACAAAAAGACCCTAACCCTTTGTCGGCGACTCCAGAGGGTGTGGTTTGCAAAGGGTGTGAATTGCAACCGACACCCTGAGGAACATCCTGGGGGGCACCCTGGGGGGCGCGCGGGGACCTCGATAGAGTTCCCCCGCGCCCCAAGGAGGCCCGACGAGGACAGTGTCGTGCCCCCCAGGCCCCAACGGTACCGATCGCAACCCACACCCCAGCGTAACCAGACCCTTTGTAGTCGCCGATTTTGGGAGGTGATCTAAGTTAGGAGGGCCACAAACATTAATGATAGGGGGTATTGTCTGTAGATGTGTCAAGCCAATGCGCCCAAATATATGATCCCCAATGCAAAGACGGGAGCCTAAGTGAGGCCGTGTCTTCACTGTGTCTTCAAGACGTCTTTAATATATTATCTTATCCTCGATGAACCGGTATGCCGCTGCTCCCCAGACCTCTCCAGGGGTGCGTCCTGACCAGAATCTCGAGGCGAACCCAGCGGTGGTGACGAGGGCCTCCCATCCCAGGAGGCCCAAGAAGGTCAAAACGAGGCCAGGACAGCAGACATAATGCGGAGGCCGAGCGGTCTTACACCATTCCTTGATACGTGGGTGGCTTGGGAGACCGTGGCCCAAATTCTGCTTATGTTTTGTTGTGTCGTTGTTTGTTGTCGTCGTCCCCTCCCGCGACCCACCCACGTTGCTTTGCCTAACACAATCGGTGCCTGCGGCAAGCTCGTTGTGCAATGTGTAAAACAATCAACGCCAATTCCGCAATTGGGTGACGAAAAGAAACGGGTCGGACGCGAGATGGCACAGCGACCTTACAGCACGGCCTACGCGGGCCGCCAGCGTGGCGCGCCACATTAGATACGAGGGCGCTCACGCGCGACCTTACGCGGGCAACTTACGCGCGAATGTCGGCAAAGATGGACCCGCTTTACGATGTCACCCAGCTGTCGCAAACTGAGACTGCATGTGGCAAAGGCGCAGCGCCAAAACACGTTGGAAGCGAAACTTCCAGTGTGGTAGTATCATGTTCGGCGGAAACACTGCCCGCTTTACACCCAAGAGCGAAACATGCTGTCGAAAATGCCTACTTTGGCAGGGGAGGGGTCAAATATTTGCCTACATACGTGATGCGCTCCACGCCACACTGTTTCACCCGACAGGAACTTCAGCAGAAATGACACATGAAGAAGATCAGACAGACTTTGAGAAAGTGGGTGTATCGGTACATTATCCGACTCCAGAGGCCTCCCAGATGGGGTCCGAGTACAGTAGGGGCCCGACCACAAGAAACCTTACACGAGAAATCCAACCCTGAGACCCCAAGACGTCCATTGAATTTTGGCGTGGGAACGTCACGTCTTCCATAGCGAAACCATCGAAACCTCCAAAAAACAGGGCACCCTGGATGCAAGCAGGATGTTTCATGGTATGGGTCCCCCACTGTAGATGGTGTCGGATGATCGCACCGCATCGCCTATGCATCGGCGCCCTCGGCGATGCGGCGCAATCCTTCGACCTCTACTCCGACGCAAGGTGAGAGGCCCCATTTGAAAGTGAAGGTATCAAGACCAAACCAGGACGAGGATAAATTTTGACGAATATAAATCGGATATCTCTGAGACCCGGCGTCCTGGCCTCGCCCGATCGGGGATCTACTGACCCGGGTCAGTGCTATCCTGGGCAAGTCAGGCCGTGCAGTATCCTGCTCACCCGGCTCAGTGCAGCCCTGGCCCTGCAGGATCCTGCAAGATCTGGCGCTCTGACTAATCCCCGCCTCTTGCAGAAGAAGGAGCAACGCCCTAAACAGAAACGTTCGACGGTCCGCGCGGATTTCTTGGATCTGAGCTGAGACCCCTCCACCACCATGAGTTGGAGGGGGGAAGGGGTCCTCCTCCTCCTTCTCCTCCTCCTTCCCCTCTCCAACTTATGGTGGTGGTGAAAAACAGGCCCATCAGGAGGCGCCGCCATGGGGTCCCAGCGCCGTTCCAAGAGATCCGCGAGCAACGCCCAGAGTTCAGGTTTATGGTGCTTCTCCTTCTTCTTCGACTCTTGGGCCCCGACCCGATGTATCGGTACATTACACTGACTTCTTACCAGACCACACCAACCTAACCCGAAGACCCAAGTTTCGAGCAGGGGGGGTACGGGGGTGCGGGTTCCATATGTGTCTTCTCAATGTTCCCCGATCCCCCCCCCTCACCACACTGGAAATGGAGGGCAAATTGAGGCCTTCGGGTTGGGTTGGGGTGGTTTGGTGGGTGGCGATATACGGCTCTGATCCTCTGATTCTACGCAATGGCCCTCCCCTTGGGGTTCTCTGACCAGGATCTCGAGGAGAATCCAGCGGTGGCGACGAGGGCCTCCCAGGAGGCCCCAAAAAAGAGAAAGACAAGAAACGGGCAGAGGTAATGGAGGGTGACCAAAAGGGGGGGTGAAGAGAAGGGCCCTCAAGGAGCCCTTTAGGGCCCCCTTTGGAGCCAGCCGGTGCCCAAACGGGGGCCCTATAAAGGACCCCTCCAGCGCCTTTCTCTTCACCCCCAATTTGGGTCGCCCGCCATTGCCACCCGCCCGAGTCTCTGGAGCCCCGACCCGACGCATCGGCAGGAGAGCCCAGAATCGAATCGATAAATCGGATCGGCGATCGAAACGAATCGGATCGGCGGAAATCGGCAGCCGAGTCGGGAGAAACTGGGACCGGCGGAAGTCGTCAGGCCAGTATGCCTTCAGTGAGTCGTCGGAAGCCAAATCGGAATCCCGAGTCGAATCGAATCAAATCGGAATCGGAAACCATCGAAATCGAATCGAATCGAAACGGAGGAATCGAAACGAGCCCTGTATCGTCGGGGACATGTAAGACTCGGGTACTGGGGACTCGGGTTGGCCTGACGGGACCATCGCGAAAATGGCGACACCCAATCAGAAATTTGAAGCGAACTCCCGCTGCAAACATCCCACGAAAACTGCACCGTCAACATCCAGGGCCGGGCTCGTCGCAAGGCGACGGCGCAGAACCCGAGCTCCGGCGCACTCGAGTCGCACGCTTCCCCGACATCGGTATACACTCTGCGGCTCTGATCCTCCAGCAGCTCCAGCAGGTGGGACTTCCTCCGGCCCGGGTGCGACCCCGCCAGAGCCGGCGGCTCGGGCGAGGTCGCCCCGGCCCGCCGCAGCTCGCCGGCCAGCCACCGGAGCTCCTCCAGCGGCCCGGACGCGGCCTGCCGCAGCTGCTCCTCGAGGGACTCGCGGAGCCTCTCCTTGGAGGAGCCCAGAGATCCAGGCCCAGACAGGGCCGCGCCGCAAGCCAGAGACGCAGGACGGAGGCTTCTCGCCATGTCCGGCCTCCGGGGGCCGGGACCCGGGGCCGTCCAGAACCGGCTCCGGAGGAAAACCCGGCCCCGAGGAAAGGGTCGGGACTTCCGGGGAGGCCGCATGGAAAAAAGTCAGGACGTCGCATGTCTGGGAGTACAGTGGGCCCAGGCCGGAAGGTAAAGGCCTCCCAGATGGGGTCGGAGTGGTTGGGGTCGGAGGATCGCGCCGCATCGGCGATGCATCGGCGATGCATCGGCGATGCATCTGGGATGCACCAGCGAGGCATCGTCGACGTCGGCGATGCATAGGCGACGTCGACGTGAAGAAAGTCGGGCTCCACATCGAGCCGCATCGGCGATGCATCGGCGATGCGGCGCGATCTTCCGAGCCCATCGACTCCGATCCCATCTAGGAGGCCTAGAGTGGCTCCGCCCCTCCTCCCACCTCCACTCCGCCTGCACGCCTCCACTCTCCCCTGGCCCAGTCCCTGGGCCTGCCAGCGGCCCCCCTTGTGGGCGCAGCCGAAGCGCTCGGAATTTGGCGTTCTTGCCCATTCGGCTTTCCGACGCTCCCGAACGGTCCTGAAGGCCCCCGAGACCACACCAAGACGGCACAAGAGGCCCCTACGAGGGCACCAAGACAACCCACGAGCCCCCCAAACGGCCCACGAACTCTCGTGCCCCTCCACGGCAAGGATGGGGAAACCAAACGGTACCGATACCGCTACAGTCAAACCTACGTCAGAAGAACATCCGTCAAGAACATGAGACACTCCGTCGGCCAAAACAAACAGAACATACAAGGGTACCCTCCCCAGGATGCAAAAAGACACCTAACAAACACGAAGAACATTGGAGCTCCCTCGCCGAATCGACCACGATCTTATACCTCGGTCCGACTGTATGGATAAGGAAACGCACCACCACCACCACATGGAGGATGGAGGTAGAGGGTGGTCAGAGATGGTGGTGGTGCACCAGCGATAGAGCTGAACGGGGGCACCGAGAAGCGAATTGGCCAGCGTGCAGGAGAGGGGAAAGGACGGACAGGACGTCCAAACTGCATAACAATAAGCTTGCAGGGCCTCCGCGCGGACTGCTTGGATCCGCGCGGAGCGCCCCTGGCGGCGATCCAAGAAACCCGCGCGAGGCTCCGACACAGTATGCTTACGCAGTTGCTTCGTATCCGATCTCCTCCAGGCGGCGCGCCATCTGGTCCGCGGCTCGGTCGAGCTGCTGACTCCTAGGGTGGCTACGTAGACGTCTCCCAGATGGGGTCGGAGTGGTTGGGGTCGGAGGATCGGGCCCGCCGCATCGCCGATGCATCGGCGATGCATCGGCGATGCATCTGGGATGCACCAGCGAGGCATCGTCGACGTCGGCGATGCATAGGCGACGTCGACGTGAAGAAAATCGGGCTTCGACGTGAAGAACATCGGGCTCCACATCGAGCCGCATCGGCGATGCATCGGCGATGCGGCGCGATCTTCCGAGCCCATCGACTCCGATCCCATCTAGGAGGCCTAGAGTGGCTCCGCCCCTCCTCCCACCTCCACTCCGCCTGCACGCCTCCACTCTCCCCTGGCCCAGTCCCTGGGCCTGCCAGCGGCCCCCCTTGTGGGCGCAGCCGAAGCGCTCGGAATTTGGCGTTCTTGCCCATTCGGCTTTCCGACGCTCCCGAACGGTCCCAAAGGCCCCCGAGACCACACCAAGACGGCACAAGAGGCCCCTACGAGGGCACCAAGACGACCCACGAGCCCCCCAAACGGCCCACGAACTCTCGTGCCCCTCCACGGCAAGGATGGGGAAACCAAACGGTACCGATACCGCTACAGTCGGACCTAGGCAAGAAGAACATCCTCCAAGAATATGAGACACTCCGTCGGCCAAAACAAGCAGACCATACAAGGGTTCCCTCCCCTCAGATGCACAAGAACATCCAGCAAACACGAAGAACATCAGAACACCCTCCCTGAATCGACCTCGATCTTATACCTCCCGGACCTCTTCCAGGGTGCAATCTGACCAGCACTTCGAGGCGGACCCAGCGGTGGCGACGAGGGCCTCCCGGGAGGCCCGAAGAGGCGAAAACGAGGGAAGGGTAGCGGTATGGGTACGTTTTCCTCTGACGGGCTGTGCTGGAGGATCAGAAACGGTATAAGCATGAACTTTTGGCGGTCCGCGCGGATTTCTGGGATCTGCGGCGGACCCCCCCTTCCTAGCGCGCGGAGCGCGCCGCCGGGGGGGTCCAGGCGCCGACCCAGGAAATCCGCGGGGACCGTAAACAGTTTATGTTCATGCCATTTTTCTTTCCTCGATGTACGGTACGTGCTCTAGGTTTCTTAATAAGCGTGGGGGGTGTACCCCCCGAAGGGGGTCAACCTCGACTCGTCGTCGCGCCGCGACGGGGGGTCGGAGCGCCTTCGGCGCGCGGTGGCTGCCCGCGACGGGGGTCGATGTGAGACTGTCGGCGAGGGTGACGCCCCCTGACGCTCATTCAGAAACTCGGAGTGCCCCTCCTCCTCCTCCTCCTCCTCCTCCTCCTCCTCCATCTCCTCCTCCTCCTCCTCCTCCTCCTCCTCCTCCTCCTCCTCCTCCTCCTCCTCCTCCTCTCCTCCTCCTCCTCCTCCTCCTCCTCCTCCTCCTCCTCCTCCTCCTCCTCCCTCCTCCTCCTCCTCCTCCTCCTCCTCCTCCTCCTCCTCCTCCTCCTCCTCCCTCCTCCTCCTCCCTCCTCCTCCTCCTCCTCCTCCTCCTCCTCCCTCCTCCTCCTCCTCTCTCCTCCTCCTCCTCCTCCTCCTTCCTCCTCCTCTCCTCCTCCTCCTCCTCCTCCTCCTCCTCCTCCTCCTCCTCCTCCTCCTCCTCTCCTCCTCCTCCTCCTCCTCCTCCTCCTCCTCCTCCTCCTCCTCCTCCTCCTCCTCCTCCTCCTCCTCCTCCTCCTCCTCCTCCTCCTCCTCCTCCTCCTCCTCCTCCTCCTCCTCCTCCTCCTCCTCCTCCTCCTCCTCCTCCTCCTCCTCCTCCTCCTCCTCCTCCTCCTCCTCTCCTCCTCCTCCTCCTCCTCCTCCTCCTCCTCCTCCTCCTCCTCCTCCTCCTCCTCCTCCTCCTCCTCCTCCTCCTCCTCCTCCTCCTCCTCCTCCTCCTCCTCTCCTCCTCCTCCTCCCTCCTCCTCCTCCTCCTCCTCCTCCTCCTCCTCCTCCTCCTCCTCCTCTCCTCCTCCTCCTCCTCCTCCTCCTCCTCCTCCTCCCTCCTCCTCCTCCTCTCCTCCTCCGCCTCCTCCTCCTCCTCCTCCTCCCTCCTCTCCTCCTCCTCCTCCTCCTCCTCCTCCTCCTCCTCCTCCCTCCCCCCTCCTCCTCCTCCTCCTCCTCCTCCTCCTCCTCCTCCTCCTCCTCCTCCTCCTCCTCCTCCTCCTCCTCCTCCTCCTCCTCCTCCCCCTCCTCTCCGCCCGACGCCTACTAAGAAGCTCGGAGCAGGGAGGCCGCTCGGCGCTGCTGGCCACCTCGAGGTGCTGGCGGGGCGGCGCTGGCTCCGCGCGCGGGGCGGGGCGCCGGAGCCCGAAGGCCTCGCTCGTGGCCGGGGCTGCCGGGGGCGTGCCCGGGGGAGGGGAGCGGAGCCCAAAGACAGCCCAGAGCCTGTTTTCCTTTAGATCCAGGCAAGCTTACTTGCATGGCGTTCGCCCCCCCCTCCCCCCCCCTTCCTCTCCCCCCTCGCCCCTCTTCGGTCGAACGCGAGAGTGCAAGCGCCTCTCGACTTGCGCGATTTCCGCACGTCGAACTGTTTTCGGCTTGCCTCAGACTCAGCCCCTCCCCCCCCCCGTCCATGCAAGTAAACTTGCCCGAATCCAAAGAAAAACAGACACAAAGACAGCCCAGATAGAGGCCTCCTTGACGTGGTCGGAGCAGAAGGGATCGGACGATCGCGCCGCAGCGCCGATGCATCGGCGATGTATCGGCGATGCCTTGGCGGCGCACTGGCGATGCATCGTCGACGTCGGCGGTGCGTCGGCGAAGTCGACGTGAAGCAAATCGGGCTCCACATCGAGGCGCATCAGCGATGCATCGGCGATGCGGCACGATCATCCGAGCCCATCTACTCCGACCCCATCTGTCAGGCTTGGACCAGAGAGGGCCCCCAAGACGTCCCAGAGGCACCCAAAAGACTCGGCAGAGGAAAAGGTGCCGAGACCGCCGCCCTGCCCTCGTTCTCCGCCTTCTCGGACCTCCCAGGAGGCCATCGTCGCCACCGCTGGAGTCGAGTCGAAATGCTGGTCGGATTGCACCCTGAGAGGACGAGGAGGAGGAGGAGGAGGAGGAGGACGAGGACGAGGAGGAGGGCGAGGAGAGGAGGAGGAGGAGGAGGAGGAGGAGGAGGAGGAGGAGGAGGAGGAGGAGGGCCTCTGGTAGGCACCACAGACGGCCTCTGGAAGGCGCCAGACGCCCCAGGAGCACCCCGAGACCTGGCTGCGCCTTCTGGGGACCTTCCTGGAGACACTCGCTCCGCTTCTGCGTCGGGAGCTGCGTCGAACGTCCGTCGACTCGAGTCGGACCTGAGCCGACCCTGAGTCGAACCTGAGCCGAACTCGAGTCGAACCTGAGTCGAACCTGGGTCGAGTCGAACCTGAATCGAACTTGAATCGAACTGAGTCGAACGGATCCGCTAGGTGGGCCCCAGGAAGGTCCCCCAAACGAGCATCCAACAAGACCGTCCAAGAGAGCCCCTGGATGGGCTAAGTGGGCCCAAACAGGCACTCCAAGTCAAGGGCCAATTCTCAACCGCCATTACAATAGGTAAGACGGGGGAGAATGGAGGATGAGGAAGTCCTCCTCCTCCTCCTCCTCCTCCTCCTCCTCCTCCTCCTCCTCCTCCCCCTCCTCCCTCTCCTGCATATGGTACTGGTGGTGGAAAATCGGCCCGTCACCAAGAGGCCCGAAGCGCTCCGACAGGGTCGGTGGGTCTGAGGCGTCTGGCGCAGGGATGGGCGGGGGCGGGCCCCCCTTGCCTTGGATGCTCCTTCGGGGGACCTTGCTGAAGACAGTCGCTCCACTCGTGCGTCGGAAACTGCGTCGAACGTCCGTCGGCTCGAGTCGACCCTGAGTCGACCCTGGGCCGAACCTGAGTCGAAGCGGAGTCGAACCGGAGTCGAACCTGAGTCGAACTGGGGTCGAACTGGAGTCGAACAGATCCGTTAGGTGGTCCCCCCTTGCCTTGGATGCTCCTACTGGGGACCTTCCTGGAGACACTCGCTCCACTCGTGCGTCGGAAGCTGCGTCAAACGTCCGTCGACTCGAGTCAAACCTGAGTCGACCCTGAGTCGACCCTGAGTAGCCTGAGTTGACCCTGAAACGAACCTAAATCGAACCTGATTCGAACCGGAGTCGAACCTGAATCGAACAGGGGTCGAACTAGAGTCGAACAGATCCGCTAGGTGGGCCCCAAGAAGGTCCCCCAAACGAGCATCTAACCTCTCCGCGCGTCTGAATCGACGTCATCGAGGAGCTGCAAGGGGCTAGGGAGCAAGCAAACCAACATAGTTTGACAAATGGCGGTTGGCCCTTTCATCCGCGCCAGGCCCAAGTTTCGCCCGTGCAGCCTTTTCAAAGGCGGAGGCCAAAAACTACTATCACCCACTCTCGACCTGTACCCAAAACATGCTCTGTACGCGGGCTCAACCGTGTGCTATGTTCGATTCGGTGATCTGCGCACTATCCGCAAAATGTTCTGCAGACTCAGGGTGATGAGGATGGTGCCACCTTTTTGCCCGACGAGAATGCGCACAACCCTAATCAAGCACAGTCGTGGGCACAATGTCAGACAAGGCGTTCAGTCAAAAAACTCGCACTCAATCGCGAACACGAAAAGAAAGTTACAGATGTCTGAGGTCTCCCTTATCGGCTGTAGCTCTTCCTAACGTTGCAAGCAATGTATGCAAGACCTGTCACGCCAAGTCGCCTCATGTCATGCTTTGGCACGTTCCGATGGCCAAGTGCCAACTCGTTTCCTTGGCACGTTCTGCGATCTGTGCTTATTTCGCAGCGGTGATCGCCTTGTTGGCTAGGTCTCTCAATTTGTCTCCCCTGTCTCCGTAATAGCATACGCCGTCGTACCAGCTGCAACCGCTTGACGTCTTACCAGACCATGTTGAGCTGCGACATGCCGACGTATCACCGCAACAGCTGCATTCCGCGTTGCAGGAGCTGAACCAACCACACAGGGTGCCCTGGCCGCTGCTTGCATTGTGCCGATATGAAG